GGTTCAGTACGACGATCGATTTTGTCGCACTGCCCTCTGCCGGCCACCGTGTCGCCATGGCAGTAGCCTATAGCAACCTGTTAGGCATTGCGGTTGCTCGTCCAAGCCGTGTCCAAGCTCAACACCTGCTTAGCTTCCTGGATCTGACGAGAACGGGTGCACTCTGCGTGATTTGGTCTCGGGCAGCAGAAGGCGGCAGAGCGTTACGGCGAATAGGATAAATCAATAGACGTTCATTTCGTCTCTCCACATAAAAAAAATATGTTTTATTTGCAACACCAGAACAACAGGGCTTCCAGACCAAATACCATTCCGTAGCACTTGTTAAGGAATGCTGACGAGGCCTGGAAGGTTGGAAACCAGGCCCCGGGTTTTTTTTTCTGGGTAAAATATTTCACCTTGAAAGCCCAAGGGGCCGAAAGCGAACGCAAAATATCCCCCCAAAACAGGAACTCGGATGGGCGAGCGACGCGCCGCCCATCTGGAATATGCCATTTCAGAATCGAGAAGTTTGACGGTTAACGAAAGTGTCCACTTTCAAAGTTCAGAAATCATCAGGTGACGGTTGAACTTTTGAAGATCTCCCTTCGGGATAGATTTTTATTTTTGTTACGCTGGTAGACACAAATGCAGGAGCATCTTTTTAGCTATGAACTCTCGCTTAAAAAAAAACAAACGCATAGTTTGAGAGGGGAAGCGAAATAAATGGGTGGAAGGAGGCGGTGACATCGTGGTTAGCGCGCTGCAATGAGCACACCTGGGGGGTACGAGTTTGATTCCTCGTCCACTCTATTTCGACGCTACAACGTCCAACGCTTCCCACTCTTCACCAAGCCGCACTGACCAGCGTGGTGAAGTATGGTCAAACAACCCTCAGAGCCGACACGGTGTGAAGAGGCCTTGAAAAAGGCGGGTGGGGGGGGGGGCTCGGTTGACCCCTGACCCGGTTTGTGAACGCTGTGTGACACGGACAGAACTCTGTCAATTCAGGGCCGCCCCCACAATGCGGGGGGGGAGGCCTTGGAGGTTATTTGACCATACTTCACCACGCTGGTCAGTGCCAGTCAGTTCACGAAGTGGCGTGTCCTCTAAACCGTATCTCCTGGACATCTGTGAAAAAAGAGCTTGGTAGCTTATTGGATTCCTCCACCCCCCCCTTCCAATATGTTGTCATGTGCACCAACAGGGGCTTGCGCACAAACACGTCCACGTACACGTCGTGCTCTATTTTAGCTCCGCCCCCCCCCCCCCCCCCCCAATACGTTCCATTCATTGGCTACCACATTCTGATAAGCTCCCCCCCCTCTCCTCCCCCTTAACTTGTATTTAAGAACTTGCATCTTGGAATCCCTGCCTCACTTGATACAGCAAATCTCGCTGTGACGGTCCCACCTGATGACGGAGACTTGTGTTGCCTCCGAAACGTCGTGATTTTTTATTTTTTATTTCTATTATTACTTTGATTAATTTTAATTTCATTTTTTACCTATGTGACTTTACCGAAAAAACTAAGAGTGCAAATAAAACACTCTGATTCTGCACACACGCTATCATAAATCAAGCGGGCCACGTGGATGCCGCAACGAGTGCGCGAGACGAGGGGGTAAAGTATAATGAATGACAACAAGGAGAGCGATCGATGGCCAAGAGGGGGGTGTGAACAGATTAGCACTCGCTGCACAATGGCCTCACGGCACGAGCCCCCCCCCCCCCCCTCAAACCGAGAGCGGACGGCTCCCTAAGCAGAAATGTAACAGACTCTGCGCTAAAAATTGATTCTCACGCTCATGACACGCGCATCGATCGGAGCGCGTGCCGATTGATTCTTTGTGATCCGCGCGCGCGTGCGCACGATTGTGATTGTTTCATGGGAAACTTACAAAGAACTATAGATTCTACAAGGGTAAACACACAAATAGAGTGTCAACCTAATAGCAGGCATGAATTGTTCACTATTCGTAAGAAAAACTTACTTAATCAAATTCAATAAGGTGTTTTTTTGTACTATGACGGAGAGGCCGTTGCCCGACATGTCACCTATTATATACTCTTAGGGTTTTTTGGTAAAGTTACGTAGGGGGAAATAAAAAAAAATCTATAATGAACATAATAATAGAAATAAAATAATAAATCACGACGTTTCGGAGGCAACACAAGCTTCCTTCATCAGGTGTAAAAAATTAACCCGTGAAAAAAAGTTTTTCACTATAAATCCTTTATATGCGTGGCATTGGTTTTATTTTATTATTCATTTCAGTTTTTCTTGAGTAAGAGTTTCATTTTTATCACATTGGTATTTTAAATAAAATATAAAAAACATTTTTTCCTAAAAAGTGGAAAATTTTGGAATTTTTTTTTCATGAAAATAAATTGTCACGCACAACGAGTCTGTGTGCAAAATGTCAGCTCGATTGGATCACGGGAAGTGGGTTAACAAACGACCGAAAGATTTGCACGGTCGTAAGCGCGCAAGCAAGCAAGTGAACTTAATATAAAGGATGTAAAAAGGCACAGCAAAATAACTGTAGCGACTGTCGTGATTTATTATTTTATTTCAACGATTAGGGTTTTATTATTAGTTATTTATTTTTACCTACGTGACTTTACCGAAAAAACCTAAGAGTATGAATCCTTGCAGTCACGAAAGCTTCAAATCTAGAAATAACACCTATTATATATTTATGCTGCATTTGCATTTGAGGTCACAGCTATTAACAAATGTGTTGAGGGTTTTTTTTCCTCTTCCATTCAGTTAGCAGGTGGATGTGCCAGTCGACTTGCCACCCTGGAAAGGATGCTGCCACGGTGTTAATGCTTCACACTCTAAACCTGCAATCCAGGGATCGCCGGTTCGATTCGATTTCCCGACACGGCGGTTGAAACAACGGTCAAGTTTACACGCCGGGTCCTTGCACGAGTAGGAATAACAACAACAACAATAATTTGACCATGCTTCATCACGTGGGTCAGTGCGAGTAGGTGAAGGGCTGGGCCAGGGCCAGTTGAGAGTTGCACTCAGCACTGATGTGAGCTGTGACCGGGAATTGAACTTAGGTTGCTGAATTTACAAGGGAATGTGCTCACCAATGCACCACTCCTCCTGACCTAATCATAATAATCCACTTTGTTGACCTATCATTTGTGGCCAAGTCGCTTCTGAAATGGGCTTTACCTGGTAAGATACAAATTGTTTAGTTCTAATGTGTATATATTTTAAATGATTTGCGTTACATTTCCTGTACTTTGCACTCCCATCGTGTTTTTTCGTACGGTTTATTGCTGGAACGTTCTGACCCCGTGCCCCCCGACTGGACATCTGTGAAAAAGATATCTCATCGGATTCCTGCAGTATAAATAAATATTCCGCTTCTGAATAATCGTGCCAATTATTTAGACCGGGGTTCCTAGGACAAATTCAGATTATATACTCTCCACGGATGTTCGCCATGGCGGGGAATCGAACTCGGGTCGGCAGGCTCAGAGCGCAGTGCGCTCACCGCTGTGCCCGCTGTTCCACCTCTAACCACCTCGACTCGGGGTAAAACAAAACAAAAAATAAATCAATTGTCAGGGCTCATTAGTTCTTACTGAACCAAGGACACAGAGGTCAGAGAGAAGATGGATACATTTCTCTGGTTATGTCCACAAACATTCTGGGCTGGTACTCAGAAGAGAGGCATTCCACGATTGCATCCGACAGAAGAGCACCAGTTTTGACTTCAAATATACCCAGATTAACTAAATTATACTTGTAGGAACCTCCTGGTTCCACCAGCCCACAGGGGATTATTGTGTCTGTCTGTCTGTCGTGCATCCAAAAATGGGAGGCGTGGGGCTGGGTGGAGAGGAGAGGGTGGGGAGGGAGGGGCTGGGTGGGGAGGGGAGGGTGGTAAGGGGCTGGGTGGGGAGCGTGGGGAGGGGCTGGATGGGGAGGGGCTGGGTGGGGAGGGTAGGGCTGGGTGAGGGGTGGGAGGGGTGGGGCTTGGTGGGGAGGGGCTGGTCACCCCGTGGTGCCCTTAAAAAACTCAACGTTTAACCTACTCACGCCGGCTTGTGCCCGCCCTCACAGTCAGGCATATTTGCGGAATACACCACGCCGCCGTTGACCCTGGCCATTGACCGAGCAACCCAACGTTCCTACCAGCTCCCTCCGCAGGAATGTGTTTCAAGAAAATTTACAAGACCAAGACAAATGTCAGTGTTACAAACGGTAACTGTAAAGATGCAAGCAAATCCTGCGGTCAATGTTTTCCTCCCCGACGTAGGCCGTAATCGCAAGGTTAAACTCAAACGACTGGCAATTTATTTACCATCAATAATTTATCTTCTTTTTTTTATAAATGCTGCCGCAGTTGCGACTGTCGTCGTAAAATTTGAACTCGACAGCGGGGGTTGCGAGTGAGAATTGCTGTGCGTTTGGGGTATGATAAGAAAATCGTTGCTGGTCATCAGGAAGAAGCCTTGCAAGTGAAAGAGGAGGCCATTCAAGAATACAAACAATCATTCGCCCGCCCGACTATCATCGGTTCGATTACTCGCCTAATCGGACTACGCGAAAACAGGGGGGGGGGGGGGGGAAGTCTCACCTCTGTGTTCCCATGTGTGTTGTTGGGCGGAAGGTGATGGCCACCCCTCCCCCCACCCCCTCCCCGAGTGATCGGAACACAAAAAACATATTTTATTGCAATTGCGGGTCGATTACTGAGCTTGTTCGACTCCTCACCCCAGCTCCAGTTAGAACCGCCGATGGTAGTGCATTCACCTTGCAATGGTGAGTGGGTGGGCTGGTGGTTTGAGTGGGTGGACGTGCAATTGAGGGTAGGTCAGGGTGGTTGAATGGGTGGGTGGATGAGTGAAATGGGTGGGTGGGTATTTGGGTTGCAGTGGGTGAAAATGGATGGATGGATGAGAATGGAGGGATGAGTGGGTGGGAAAGGATGGGTGGGTGGATGGGTGAATGAGTATAGGTGGGAAGGTGTGCTGTGGTGGGTGAGTGGTACCTGATGCTCAGGTATCTCAGGTGAGAGGGTCTGTCCGAGGATGAGAGCAGTCAGGTACGCCCAACAGCGAGCCGTGTTGGGCTGGTGGTACCCTCCTGTTCATCATCAACAAACAAATACAGACAAAGATGTCCCATATAGCCTGAACAGACGTTTGTGGAAAGTGCTGTTAGTGAGTACCGATGATGGCTGCCACGGGAGACGAGGGGATCGGTGGCTAATACCACACCCAGCCATCTTTGTCTCCCCAGTGCTGATGCTTACACACCGCGCAAGGTACTCAATTGAGGCTGAGTCAACCTAGGGGAGGCCCATTTATTTGTCACCGTTGTTGGCCGTGAGCAGGAATCGAACTCGGGTCCCCGGGGTTTGAAGCGCAGCGTACTGACTACTGGGGCCACCGACCCCCACAAACATCATCATCATCCACACACACAGATGTCACATAGACAATATCTATATTAATATAACTACAACACACACACACACTTATTACACGTTCCGAGCAGGCGAAACAGCCACATCTGGCACATCTAGGGGCAGGCTTGCTGTAGGAATCACCAGAAGGAAGGAGGAGAGATGCGTAAAGAGAGAGGTAAAGGTACAACCCAGCAATTGCTTCCTCACGTGACCGCCGGTGGAAGGGCCTCCACTGCAGTGGGATTTCTGAATTGCGTGACCTTAGCGGTGAAGGTTTTTTAGTTTTTTGTGTGAGCGTGTGAGCCGTGCCCCACCGGCGGAATGCTTGTCAGCAGCAGCCCGCATCGCGATCTTGTCTTCTGAATCTAAGAAATTCTATTTAAATTGTCGGCAATGTTAAAAGTGTAAGGTCTTGAAATTACTTGCTCAGGCCAGTTCAATGGCCTCCACTGAACAGGGAGGCCATTGAGCTCAAACACCTGCCGGGAATATGTCTTGAAATAGGTGGGAGTACCTACACGTACTCAAACTTAGGTCGCCGGGTTCATAGTGCAGTGTGCGAACCGCTGTGTCATCGTTTCCTTCTCTCCACCTCCCCCCCTCTACCCCACCCCCCCCATTAAGCTACTCGAAAAACCTCAACTCAAATAGTCCACGAGATATTTTCGAGCGAGCCGCTCACATCATGCACATATCGCGCGGGTAATTTAATGATTGATGGCTTTAAAATCAACGGCCATTACGTCTAATGGCCACTTGCAGCGGCGCGAAGGCCCAAAGTAGGCACCTCCCGCAAGCGAACACGAGAGGTAAACGGACGGAGGCGTACACAACCAAACGCGATGATAACTTGCCGACTGAATGGATGGATGGATGACTGACTGACTGGCTGGATGGGCGGGTGGTTGATTGGTTGGTACCTCCTCCAAGCACAAGTGTGGGCAGCCAACGTGAACGGTTTACGGACGGACGCGTGCACAAACAAATGCGACAGTAATTGACCGATTCGAGTGGTTGAATTTGGTAAATGAATGAACGTGTGAATGACTAAACCAATGAATGGGTGGTGCCTCCTTCAGTAAAAGCTTGGGCAGCATGAAAGGTTCGTGGATGAATACTTGAACAACGAACAGGGTAGTAGCTGATCAAACTGGGTGAATGAATGAAGAATTAAACGAGTGACTGAATGAATGAGCGAATGGTACCTCCTCCCAGTACAAGCGTGGGCAACCGCCACTCCAGGATGCTCTGCAGGCAGCGGCCGATTCCTCGCGGGGTCAGGTTGAAGGAGCACATGGGGTCACCGGCGAGGGTGTCTGCTCCCAGCTGGCAAACGACCACTTCTGGGTTAAAGGTCACGAACACATCTTGCAGGACCCTGGACGACAGCCAGCCCGGAGCGGAGGCGAGGGCAGAACAAAAAAACAAGGAAGAAAAACATCACGCACGCGCGGATTCTGTAAAGATTTCCCAACGCGGCATTCGCCATCACACTTTTGGTATACAGGTCATGGGTTTGATGCCGACCCTGACGCCTGCTGTAAATTTGGAGTTGATGTGTTCTCCCCTTGGTCACGTGGATTTTTCTCCGGGTCCTCTGTTTTTTCTCTCCACATTTAGAATCAACATGGGATTAAAGTATTTGGCTGCTATAAATTTCCACGTGATAAGCCGCTTAATTGAGCTATTATTTGTGGCCAGGTCGCTTCTGAAAAGGAGCTACATGGCTCAGTGGGTCTAATCTGGTCAAATAAAAATAGTTTAGTTTAAAAATAGTTTATAGTTTAGTTTATGAAGGAGTTTCAAACTCGGATCCCACCAAATGAGAAGTCTGCATTGTGTCCAGCACTTCTGACCGATGGATGAGCAAAACTTTTAACGCACGCACTCGTGCGATCATTCCTTGAGACTGATAAGCTGTAGTTAGTGGAAATGTCGCCCTTTTTTAAGCACAGGAGGAGCTATATTAAGCGTGGGCCATTAATTTGACCATGGCACTTGCACCCACGGGCCTACTCCTTTTGCATCTTGGAGACTTTAATGATGCACGAGCAATAATCTTCCCCATGTGGATTTGAAAATACTATTACCTCTGCGTGAATAAATACGTTTTTTGGCAAGGCCCCGAGGTCTGAAACGCTGGGAGGGCCAGCAACAAACATCGCGAATAAAGTTGCATTCCTCAAAATAATAACTGGCGTTGTTGTAGGAGAATAAAACAACAGAATTAATGAAGGCTGTAGATAATGTCTCCTTCACGAATCCACGTCTCTCTGCATGAAAATAAAAATTTCCTAGATTCTAACACATCCCATTAGCCGCACGGCCTTGTGGGAGTGCGTCATTTCAGCAGCATTGTTTCACTACAATCTGGACCAGTTTAGACACACAGTGTCTCATCAGCAGTCAGCCTTTGCTTGCATCAATGCTGGTGAACTGTCGTTCTTACGTTGTTGAGGTGCCAGTTTGATGCAAAGCTGCAACAACGAACAGGTGACGGGTTTATTTGAAGTGAGCAAGGGTAACTATGCGAACTTGGGGAAAAGAGACGAGGAGAGGGAATTCTGAAGTGGAGCAAACGCGCGATGGACGAACGGTGTGGACAACACGAAACAGTTGGTCGCTTAGACCCGAGTGATCAACATGGGAGGAGGAATGAGTGAAGTAAATTTATTCTGCTTTTTTGTGTTCATACTAGCATGGTTGGCTTTGTGCAGCGCGAAAAAAGCTCAGCGTACATATCTACACATATGGCCAATGAATTTCACTTGTTGTAGAGGTAGAGACAAGGCAGAAATAATAAAGCATCTGACCGCCCGATGTGCGAGCGAGTGAGCGAGCGACTGAACTGGGCAACTCTCGTCGCGGGCTCTGCCGCGTATAAAACATTTTTTTTCTGAGAGCGATAACCTCCTGAACGGATGCGCAGCCGTGGAACGAGCGCAAATAAATATGCACCGGCTCGCTCCGCGCCATTATCAGTTGTCGCTAACGCATTCCACGCAACGCAGCGTCGCTAACGCGCGGGGCTCACCGGCACAGCGCGGAATTTGTCAAACGGCCGACGAGCGTAACAGCGTGTGCCGAGTACGCCGAATAGAGGGACGGCGAGTCTCTTCTTGCGGCAAAGGAGGGGGGGGCGGGTACACGATGTGATTTAACAATCGGCACAATGTGTTTTTTTTTGTTCCCAGAAGCTGTGACCAGAAGCAATGCCCCCATTGACTCTGCCGCCTGAGGCTCGTTGTGACGGTGGCGCGTGCACGCGTCATTTTTTTTTTACATTCGTGCAGGGTGGGTGCAGGCGTTCCGAGTTTTTCCACCCACACGATGAGTTGGACTCGGAGCGGGGCGCTGAGATCTGAATGAGGCACTGACACAGTTCGAGCACTGGAAGCTGTCAGTGCCGTCGAAGGAGTGACAATGCAGCATCGTCACGAGCAGGCACTTGTCGTCACGTGGGTTGTTAACGACCATGGTTGCCGGTGAAAATGCGACGACGTGTGTTGCGATGATCGTTCGACCGTGCGGCTTTTCCAGAGTCGCGCTGCACAACTGGCTGTGCCCGCGTGTCGTTCAGGACGATGTCACTCCCAAGTGCTGGGAGCTCGTTCACGAACTGAACATTGAATTCAGTTCCTGAGGAAGTCCCCCCAAGCACATGGAGTGCAACGTCAAGACATCAAGCTGAAACATGACGCATTAATAACCTGAGCGCACGTGGCGAGCGTTGTATTTTTTAACGGTTGTACTTCGAAGCTGCGATTGGGTTCCACTAACAAGTTGGTTTTATTTTATTTCAGCAGGTGAGAACCCAAGAGACCAGGATGGAGTCTCAATTTGCAAGGGTGACCTGTGGTGCCATTATTAGTCTGTCAGCAGCGTACGATTATTGCTACGTGTAATCCCAATTGGGTTTCAATGTAAGTTTATTTTGTGCCAATTGGTGACTCTTTAAAACAGCCTCGATAGCGCACACACACAGCGGCGGATTGAGGAATAAAGCGCCACTCAAGCTGTTCACGCCGACCAGTGTGGTGAAGTATGGTTAAATTATAAACCCCATTTGGGCAGGCCCTTATCAAGCAGTGGCTTCACAAGCACGTGTCATTCGAGCGTGTCGCAGAATACACGTGCTGGATAGCACATGAAACACAAAGACGCACGCACGCACACACACAGACACGTTATTTACCCTCACTGACTGCTGGTTATCACAGTCAGCGAGCACCTATTTTAGCCGGCATCAAACACGAGGTTGGGTGTTATGGCTGGCAGTGACGTAGGGCCGGCCAGCCACGTTTGTCTCCCCCCAGTGCTGATTTTTTCTTTACATTTGCATCCTGCTACTGGAGTTTTGACTTTGCCTTGATTTGTTACATGCATTGAGATTATTGAGATTCTAGATTTGAAGCTTTCGTGACTGCAAGGATTCATATTCTTGGGTTTTTTTTCGGTAAAGTCACGTAGGTAAAAAAAATAAAATTAATGAAAGTAAAATAAAAATCACGACGTTTCGGAGGCAACACAAGCTTCCGTCTTCAGGTGGAACCGTCACAGCACGATAGCTGTATCAAGTAAATCAAGGAAATGACATACAGCAAGCGTGCTGTGACGGTTCCACCTGAAGACGGAAGCTTTTGTTGCCTCCGAAACGTCGTGATTTTTATTTATTTAATTTTTATTTTACTTTTATTAATTGAAATTTACATTTTTTTTACCTACGTGACTTTACCGAAAAAACCCAAGAATATTATTGAGATTCTTTTGCTGCTGTAAATTTCCGCACGACAAGCCACTTTGTTGGGATGTCATTTGGGGCCAGGTTCCTTCTTAAAATAAGTTAATATCTCAGTGGGCTTTACCTGGTAAGATAAACAATAAGTTTGTTTCATTTGTACATGTTTAAGTGATCTGTTTATATTTCCTATACTTCGCACTACTATCGTGTTTTGTGTTGTTTGTTGTTGAAAGTTTTGAGGTACATGCCCCCCTACTGGACATATGTGAAAAAGAGCTTTATGGCTCATCGGATTCCTCCTCCAGTATGAATAGACATTCTGATTCTCATCCCACTATTTTAACTAGAGCTATCTTTTGATTTAAAGCTTTCGTGACTGCAGGTATTCATACTTCTTGGTTCTTTCGGTAAAGTCACGTAGAAGGGAAACAATAAAATAATCTTTTTTATATTATTTTATTGCTTCCCTTCTATAAAATAATATTTTTATTATTTCATTGTTTCCCTTCTACGTGACTTTATCGAAAGAACCAAGAATAAGAGATATCTATAGATAGTCGACCCATTAAAAGCCTCAGCGAGGCAACAGATTCTGATGACCCACGCATTGAAACAGGAACACCAATTATTATATTTTTTCTTCTGGCAAATGAGGTTCCAATGGTGTAAATGCTTACCCCGAGCTCTCATACTCTGATGGTGCATTGTCTTTGAGTTGTGCGCCTTTTGGCGTCATCTGGTCCAACACCATGTGAGACTAGGCTCTAAGGAAAGCTGTCTCGGGTGTGGACCAATCAACTTCAAGGACAGTGCATACATTATCAGAGTTATGTTTTTTGTTTGCATTATGACTGCAGTTATTGTGGTCTATGCAAACATGACTCCTTGTAAAAAAGGTGTCAGTTTTGTTGCCAGATAAAAGGGTAAAAAACCAATTATCACGCCGTAGTTGTCGTGGAATAAACAAGCAACACGCTCCCCACATCTCACATGAGTACATAGACATACCACGCATCTAGATTGGAAGCTTTCGTGACTGCAAGGGTCCATACTCTTTGGTTAGTTCGGTAAAGTCACGCAGGTTAAAGAGAGAAAACAACTAAATTAAATCACGACGTTTCAGAAGCAACACAAGCAACCATCATCAGTTGTTGACTGCTCCAGCTTCCGAAACGTCGTGATTTTATTTATTTGTTTTCTCTCTTTAACCTGCGTGACTTTACCAAAAAAACCCAAAAAGTATATGACGCATCACCCGTTGCGCCATGCAGCCTGCTAAGGCCGGCACACAACACACAGTGGGGTGGGGTGGTAAGCACCGCACTACTCCATTGCTCACGTTCACACACGGCAACAGGTACTCATTTCAGGCCGAGTCGACCTAGGGGAGGCCCCGAACAAGTTTCGATGCAATTTTTTTCATTGATGTCTGCCGTGGCCGGGCAATCGAACTCGGTTCACCGGGTTCGTAGCACGTTGCGTGGATCACTGATCCTCCGCTCCCCACCACACACACACATGACACAAGGCGACCCCACAGCAGACCTCTGTTGGGGCAAGTGCTGTTAGCGAGCACCTATTAAGGCCGGCACGGTGCACGATGGAGGTGGTGTGGCCTGCACATGCACATGACAAAC